ATTGAAATTGCATAAAATTGATGGTAAAATAAGTACAAATTATAGAAAAGTTAATTAAATATTGTCTTAATTGTCATAAATTGATGGTCTCCTTCACCTCTTTAATGGTGCGCTTGTTTTGAGTCTTCGTTTGGATCCAAACCGATCACTATTTCTCCGACCAATCCGTTGCCAATCCGGTTGCCTCTCATTGTCTTAATCCTCTTGACCACAGACTCGGATCCCTTGAAGTCCCTGAACAGCCAGTCTTCTTCGTTAGTTTGTCGCCGAGTTTTGGTGTTATTGTACGGATAGGAGCGAGCGATTCGTGAGACCAGTTTTTCCGAGAAGTACAACTGACCCGTATGTAGGGTACGACCGCCCAAATGACTCTGGATGTGGATGTGTGTTGTCCGCGGGGAGTACCACCCTTTTTATCATACAATTCCTCATTAAGCATGTTTTAATCATGAATTTTATGCATATTTAAAATTAGTACATAGTTTATTACAGTGATTAAAAGGGTTATAAATATAATTCAGTAATAATAAACGCTAAAAAAGTTCAAGTTTTTAAAATTAATTATTTTAGTCAAGACTACTTAAATGTAATTTTAATAAACAATATCTAAGATATTCACTATCGTTTAATTGTTATTAATAACTTATTATATTTAATTTTGATAATTTCACAAAATAAAAGATAATATCTTATACTGTATTATAACTTTTAATAAATATTAGAAACATTACTTATTAATAAAGATAAATAATTTAATAGATAATTGAACCCGAAACCACTTACCGGGGAATATAGTCATGAACTCTGTCTTTCCATTATTATCGGTCATCTGAATACCCCTGAGGAACGTGCCTTTGTCTGACTCAATGGGCTGTCCGTCACCGACACCTGAATAGTGTCCGCCGGCATCGCACTGCCAGATGTCGACCGATATGTTGGACAACGGCTCACATGTATTCACATCCGTTAGCGTTAGCTTCAATTTAAAGGGCAACCCCTGCCTGTCCTCACGGATATCCCTTCGGATGAAT